ACCATGTATGACACACCAATAGCCAACATTACTCTAAGTGGGAAAGAACTTAAAACATTTCCTCAAGTTCTGGAATGAAACAAACAATCTCACTTTCTCTACTCTTTGTCTTATTTCATTTTTTAATTTTTGAGAACTGCATGCATGAATGCTGTACTTACATCATTTCCACCCATCTCTCTCCTCCCAGCAACTACTCCCATGCGTACGCACACGGAGAGAGAGAGAGAGAGAGAGAGAGAGAGAGAGAGAGAGAGAGAGAGAGAGAGAGAGAGAATCCCTCTCAATTTCAGGAGCTCTTATTTAATCCCACCTCTCCAGCATTTTCTATAGAGTGCTCAGTCTTAACTTTATGTTAGTGTCCATAGAACAACCAGGTGGCCACTAGATGAAGCTCTAGGATTTTTTTTCCTTTTTTTTTAATTAAGAGATTTTCTATTCATTTTACATACCAACTACAGATTCCCCTGTCCTCCCTCCTCCCATCCCTCAGCCCTCCCTCCAAAGCCACCCCACATCCCCACATCCCCACATCCCCACATCCCCCAAATCAAGGTCTCCCATGGGGTGTCAGCAGAGCCCGGCACACTGAGCCTAGGCAGGTCCAAGCCCCTTCCCACTGCACCAAGGCTGCACAAGGCATCACACCACAGGCACCGGATTCCTGAAGCCTGCCCATACACCAGGGATGGATCCCGACCTCCCTGCCTGGGTACCCCCAAACAGTTTGAGCCAAACAACCTTCTTCAGTATCCAGAGGGCCCCTTGCCACATAATAATCAAACCACTAAACATACAGAATAATGAAAAAATATTAAGAGTTGCAAAGGAAAAAGGCCAAGCAACATATAAAGGCAGACCCATAAGAATAATACTTGACTTCTCAATGGAAACTCTAAAAGCCAGAAGGTCCTGGACAGACGTTATGCAGTCACTAAGAGACTATGGATGACGGCCCAGACTATTATAACCAGCAAAACTCTCAATCAACATAGACGGAGTAAACAAAATATTCCATGATAAAACCAGATTTAAACAATATCTCTCCACAGATTCAGGCTTACAGAAAGCACTTGAAGGAAAAATCCAACCTAAGGAAGTTAGATACACCCAGGAGCTCATCTTTAATCCCATCTCTCCAGCTTTTTTTCTACAGTGCTTAGTTTAGGTTAGTTTTCATAAAATAACCAGGTGGCCACTAGATGGAGCTCTAGGATTTTCTAGATTTTCTAGGATTTTCTAAGACAAAGACTAGGATGTTGTATTGAGCTTGCTATTTTTTCCTCTAGCCCTCCAGTCTGGTCTTTCTGGCTTTGTGGGGAGGGAGGGCTCCTCCCGATTTTTAAAGACCTTGAAACTTGTACCTAGTAAAGTAGAAAAGGCAGTCTAGGGTTTCCAATACAATTTTTGAATTTTTCTCTGACATCTATAGATACACACGGCTTATAAAATGCACAGCCAAGATAACTCAGTCTTCTTAACTCTCAGGATCCAGCTCTGCATACTTGAAAATGATTCCACGAACTTAGACTAAAGGAGAGCATGATTTTCAGAAGCTCCCTGTGTTAGACTCCATGCTTGTTATAGTTAACACTAATAACAGCCTTTTATAAAATAATAATAGAGCAGTTACTAGTCTCAATTGGTCCTTCTCATTGTGATTTCCTATATCAGTGGCCTGATAAGAATACCTGAGTCCTATCTCATCAGATCCAAAGGAAACTTCATTTCACCAAATTCCATAAGACAGAGGAACAAATGGCTCTCCGAAGTGCCCGGTAGCATAGTAAAGCACAGGCTGGCCTCCAGGTTCCCTCAGTATCACAAGTACCTGCTACACACTTCAAAGTCCATGCTAGCACCCTAGCTCTTCCCACCTCCTCCTCTACCCTAAACTTCCCCAGTTCATAGGCTTCATCCCCCCAGCTACTCATTCTCCTTATAACCCTGCTATTTCAGTTATGCTCCTCTCTCTGTCTCCCTCCTCCCCCTCTCTCTGCTCTCCCATGTTCTCTCTCTGCTCCTGCTCCTCTTCTGCTTCAGTCTGCTGGCCATGTTCATAGACTACTTTCTCCTTCTGCTCTGGACTCTTGCAGATGCCTCTGGCTCTTCTCTCTCTCACACACATCCAGAATAAAAACCTTCCCCTTATCCATACCATGAAGTGGTCATGCCATCAGTTTATACACAACTAAGACACAAAAATGGAGCCTGGACAGACTGTAACTGGATTACAGTAGACCTCTTAAGTGTATGACCAGTGATTAGTATGATACACTCCTGGTCAGGTAAGGTCAAAAGTCCCAGTGAGCCCTTTGAATTCATTCATGTATGTAGCACACTTGGCAATCTAGTTTATGTTGTATTTGGAACAGACCAGATATGAGGAAGAGGATTGTTATAGTTGGAATGAGAAATGACCTCCATAGACACACATATTTGAACACTTGGTCCCTGATGTTTACAAGTAACTCTAAAGGAAAAAATATGCATGGATGGGAAACCACTGGAACCACAAATGCAAGAGAGTAAGTTGTACAGAGGAGGAAACAATGTATAACCAGCTTTCGAGTGAACTATTTTCTTCTCAGGACCAATCCCTGAGTTTAGCATTTGCTATCCTTTCATGTAGCACTTATATTTGACATATACTACGCATTAGGGTATTTATTAACACACAGTTCTGCCTCCCCAGATATGGTGGCAGTTCCTAAAGGACTAAGACCTCATTTCTCCAGACCTAAAATAGTATCAAACATGAAACAGACGCTCAGAAAATGACTGAGGCAGAGGCATGAGAACAAGAGTTTGAGGACACCCTGGGATATAAATAGATCAGACCTTACCCAGAAAGGGGAGAATATTTATCAAAATAGCAAATATTCAAAGAGCAAAGAATTTATCTTATAATAGTCACTCTGCCTTCCTTGCTTAAACACAGTAGTTACCATTTACTGGTCATCTCCTGTGTGGCAAGTGATGTCCTAAAGCTTACACACAGATGACTTATCTCATTGACTTGGACTGGGTTTGAATCAGGTAGAAGCCTCACTATGAGGGGGAAAAAAAGAGTTCTTCCCACTCTTCACCCTGATGGGATTGGAGCAAAGGAGATGCAGGGAATGCAAAGGGTCATGTATTAACATAACCCAGGATGGTGCTGTAGGCATGTTCTGAAAGGAGTGGGCTCCCTCTGAAATAAGTACTTACAGAGAAAACAAGGATTCCCTGAGAATCTCTGGTTGGTAGTGAAGTGCACAGTATTCAGGATTGAGTGGGATAATGATACAATCTGTAATGTGGGGTGAGTGTGTGTGTGTGTGTGTGTGTGTGTGTGTGTGTGTGTGTGTTTGAGATGCCCATGTGACAGCTAAGTAGAAATGTCCTAGAGGTAGCTGACCAAATGGAATTTCAATTAGCAAACATTGTGGAATTGCGGAATTGTGTGAGTATGGGTTCAACAAGAAACATAATCTGGGCTCTTCCCCCAAGCCACCTATCGCTTCCTCTATTTCTTATTCCCAAATCTCAGCTGTTCCAACTTTTAAGACAGGCCACTTTTTTACTGTTGCACTGAACTGAAATGATTAAATATATATGAATTTTATTATGCTGGCACGTGCCTGATATCTGCTGATAGAAGGCATGAAGGGGTTATATCTGAGTACAGTTTTGGTTCCGAAATATCCAGAAAATTCCATCTTTAAAAAAACTAGAAGATGAAAGCAGAAGTGGGTAATTCTTTAAGTCTGTTTCTCTCACTCCATCTACTGACTGTATAGGTTATAGCACTATATTGGAAGGGACAGAAGTGGGGGTAAGACTGTAAAATGTAGTGTTAGGGGTTCATTGTGTTATTCATTTCATCTGTGTCGAATATAAAATGTGTAGCATGAATCTTAAAAGGTCTTATTAATTAAATCAAACCTAAGGCCAGTTATTGGGGTGAATGCTGGAAGATCAGAGAAACAGAACAAGCCACAGCTACCTCACCTCGCCAGTTCCTCAGCTGATCCGGTTTCCTCAGACTGGAAGCCTCTGTGTCCTCATCCAAATGGCTCTCAGCTGAACTGCTTCTCGAAAGCCTGAAGCTTATCCACCTAAAAGCTTCTAGTTCCTGGTCTTCACGCCTTATACACCTTTCTGCTTTCTACCATCACTCCCTGGGATTAAAGGCTCACTTTCTGGGATTAAAGGCTTGAGTCACCATGCTTGGCTGTATCCTTGAACACACAGAGATCCAGGTAGATCTCTGCCTCTGGAATGCTAGGATTAAAGGCATGTGCTACCACTGCCTATCCTCTATGTTTAATATTGTGGCTGTTCTGTTCTCTGACCCCAGATAAGTTAATTAGCATGCACAGTATTTCGGGGAACACAATACCACCACAAAAATGAGCCAGTAACATATAGGTATTAAAGGGTTCTTGGAGTTGGCACAGAACACACCCAGACACCAAATTCTCAGCACAAAGACTTATTGACCCCAGAAGGACAAGTGGGCTGCCTCTGGATTGGGAAAAACAGCAGCAGGTGGCGCTGCAGGTGTGATTGTTAAGGAGCAAATGGGGGGGGAGTCTTTGCTAGGATGAGTTAATTAGTTCTGACTGGACATGTTGGTCGGTGTACCCAGATAAGGAATTTGATAACTGGACATGGTGGTCAGACTCAGGAATGAGGAAGTGGCCAAATAAGTGAGTCAAGTGGTTTAGCAAACTGTGTGTGTTGGGGTGAGGGGGTGTGTGTGGAGGGGGACAAGACTTGCCGGCACCATGTTTGGACCTGTTAGAGCCATTCATTCCCACTTGTTTTGTTTTATTATTGGGTTGCTGGGTATGTAAGCATCATTCTTCCAGCAACTTCTTGCTGATCAGGGGCAAAGATCAAAGAAAAGAGTTATTAGTTTAAAGGGATTGAAGGTGGGGCTAGTGAGGGAGGAGGTAGGGAGAGTAAGAGACTCAATAGGGAAGTACAAACAGCAATTGCCTCATACAGGTCACCTGGTTCAGAGAAGGACATTTGCAGATGCCAGAAATCCTCCTGGAGATCCTCATGGAACTGTCCCCATCTCCAGATAAGATGTTCATGGGCCAAATGAGGAAATGATGTCATCTTTGGAAATGAGTAGTTGATAATACCTGAGGAGGAGCCATTAAAAGTTTGGTTATTTGTCTGTTGAATTTGTTTGGTCAAGAAAGAGGAAGACAGTAAAGGATTAGAGAGGCAGAAAATAACTGAATAATAATGGTGACAAGTGGGCCCATCAAAGGCCAGACCCACTCCATTAGGGAGGACTAGAACCAGCTTGTAGAGCTAGAGTCAGTGAAGGAAGTTCCTCTCAGCAGCCCCTCAGAAAGGCGCGTTAGTTTATAAATATTTTATTCTGCCAATCTTGATTCATTGATGTAATAGCAACATTCTTCCCTGAGGAACAGGAAAGTTCCCCCTCTTTCTGCTATCAAGAGATCTAGGGCTTGGCATTTCCAGAGAGATACTCAGGACAGAGAGGTAAGCTGTCATTGGAGAGAGGCCAGAGACTCAACCATTGAGTCCAAAAAGAATTGTAACTTGGCCTTGAAGTCCTAAACTGTGAGGACAGCCCCGGGCCACCTGTTTCACTTAAGGAAGAGGTCAGACTCACACCTGTAATGAGTCTTTTTTTGTACCACCAACTCCCCAGTAATGACATAGAGACTTATTACTAATTATAAATGTGCAGCCTTAGCTTAGATTTGTTCCTAACTAGTTCATATAACTTAAATAAACTCATATGTTTCATCTACATTCGTCCACGAGGCTCATTACCTCATCTCCATATTGCCCATCCTGCTTCCTCTGTGTCTGGCTGGCAACTCTGCCTTTCTTCTTCCCAGAGTTATCTCTCTGTCCAGAAGTCCCACCAACACTCTCCTGTCTAGCTATTAGCCATTTAGCTTTTTATTACACCAATCACAGCAACACATCGTCACACAGCGTACAAATATCCCACAACACACACACACACACACACACACACACACACACACACACACACCATAATAGGTAAGAAGGCAGCCTGAGGAGATGAGTTCTTGAGAGGAGCCAGAAAAATTCAGGTTAGCTATATATAAGGTCAATAGAAGGATGATTGCCACAAGAAAACAGGGTCCAGACCATTACACAAGAACAGCCTTTCCTGGGGTGCCTAAGTAGGCTCTGTAACTGAGACATTTGGGGAGCAGGGATGATTGGGGAAGCTTTTGACAAATGGTGAAAGAGATAATAGGGAACAAGTCTTTGGGGTTGGTGTGGAGAGATTGAGAGAAACCTCCTCTGGGTTTCCAAATGAGAGCTTGGATGGTTGTGGATAAGGAGTCAGTAGTGGGTGGTGGGGATTGGTAACTGAGGCATCTCTAGTGAGAGGGACTAAGGCTAGAGGAGGGGGTTGAAGATAGGCACAAAGAAAGTGGTGGGAACATCGAAGGAAGGATCAGCACAGTTGGGAAGGAGAAGGGTTTGTTGAATGACCTCAACCTGAGTGAGGGTCAGGCCATGGGAGTGTGGGTATCAAAGAGGAGGGAGCTGAGGTAGGTTTGGTTTACTTAAGTCTAGTAATTGGATGTGTGGGGTTTGTTCAGAGTGCTTGATGTCCAAGGACACCTGGACAGCCAAAGTAGTTAGGGGAACCAGTTGTCAGTGAACATTACTTATGGCCATAGGTGTCCAAGATTTAAAGGGGTTAACTTGCTTTCCATTATAAAAAGCATTTTGGACCCCAGTGGCCCGGGTCCTGTGGGTTTTTGATGTATATTTGGAGGGTGTTGACCTTGGTGGTTTGGAGGAGTATGAGTCACAATGACTATCTAGTGCCATCTGCCCATTGAATGTTGTCAGTACTTACCCAGTGGATTTTGCAGGCCCCCTATATTTGGGAAGAGTATGGCACTTTGGAAGGAATTGACCAAAGGTAAAGCAGGCAAAAGGTAATTGATTGTGGTTTGCTAAACAGTGGAACTAAATAGTAATTGTGGTAGGAGCTTTGCAGGAAGCCATACTGATAACCTGGGTAAAGTCTTTTGGGTTATGGGGGTTTCCCTAAACTAAAAATGCTAGACATACTGGCAGTTACGTGGGTAGAAGATAAGCAGGAGTGAGAAGTGGGGGATAAGATTCATCTTGTTCAAAGATAAGGGGCAGGGGGAATGGGTAATTTTAAGGGAATAGGGGATGGAGGGTATGGACAAATATATAAGGTGGGGGCTGAGTACTGAGGAATGGGAAAAGGAGAAGGAGAAGGGAGATAAAAAGGTTTTAGGTGAGGCAGATGGACCCAATGTGGGATTTCCTGGAGCCTAACCACAGTCAGAGTCATAAGTACCATGATACAGGGTTGGAGAGGCAGAGTTGGTTGGTTGGGGAGTGTGAGGAGAGTCTGATGTGCTGGCTGTATAGAACTATTTGGAGGATTTGTGAGTGGTCTGGAAGGAAGTTGGCCAAAATGTGTCCAGATAAGTGACCAGATTGCCTGTAAAGGAGAGGGCAGAAGTTTATGGGGGGTGGGACATAGCCCCAGTGGAAGAAGAGATCTCCCAAACATCAACTCAAAGGGTAAAAGATTGATGGGTTTGCAAGGAATAGATGAAGATGAGCTATAGGAAGAAGTTTAATCTAATTAAGATGAAGTTCCAGGGCAAATTTGGTTAGTATTTCTTTTAGGGTTCTGTTGGTACATTCTACTTTACCAGAGGACTGTGGGTGGTATGGAATATGAAAATGTCGGGGTATTTGTAGCACCTGAACCAAGTCCTGGGTAACTTGAGAGATGAATTCTGGGGTTTTCTGGAGGAGGGTAGCCAGTCTAAAGCAAGAGATTATGTTAGAGAACAGAGGAGTAGTGACCTTTTGTTTGTGGTTGGGTAGGCCTCAATCCAATTGGGGAATGTATCGATGCAGACTAAAATATATTTAAAGCATTTTACAGTGGGCATATGAGTGAAGTCAATCTGCCAATCGCAGCCAGGAAGCAGTCTTCAGGCCTGGTGCATGGGACAGGTCGAATAGTGGAGGTAGAGTTAGTATGCTGGCATACATCACAGGTATGGATTAAGTTATGTAGAAAGGTCTTATCTGCCAGGGTGAGAGACAGGTGGGTTCAGAGAAAGAAGAGAAAGGATGGGGGAGGGGCTAGAGAGATGAATCAATGGTTAAGAGCACTGGCTGCTCTTCCAGAGGACCTGAGTTCAATTCCCAGCACCCACATGGTAGTTCACAACTGTCTGTAACTCCAGTTCCAGGGGATCCAACATCCTCGCCCAGACATACATGTAGACAAAACACCAATGGGCATAAAATAGAAAAATAAGTCATTTAAAAAAAAAAAAAAGAAAGGATTTGGTACTAGAGTGAAATATGTGATGTAGGTAGCAAATGATGTCCTTTGCTGAAGGATGGCTAGCTATGTTATAATCTGAGTCATGCAGTAGGGTAGGTTGGAGGGAAGTTGGGTGAGTCAGATGAGATGAAAGGGCAGTCTGATGGGCTTCATCGACAATGGAGGAGTCAGTTTGATGTGCTTTGCAATAAACCAAGCCAATTTGAGACTGTGGGAAAGGAGGTTTCCAAATATATGAAGGGTTAGTATTTGAATTGCCTTTTGTGTTTAGAAAGCCTCATTCCTTCCAGATAACCAAGTGTTTTAGTAGGATATGGAAAGCACATTTGAAGTCTGGTACACCATTAATGATGTACTTTTGGCAATATGGAAGGCTCTGTTGAGGACTAACAGTTCTGCCTGTTGAGTTAGCATGTAGTGGGTAAGGAAGCCACCTCAGTGATGGCATTGTCTGAGACAACTCCATATCCTGCAACACAGTGGCCCTCTGATGGGAAGGAACAGCCATCTACATAGTAAGTATAGTCATAAGTATTTAGAGAACCCTCTTGTATATAAGAGGGATAGGGAGGAGGTAAGAGGTCTTCAAGCATCTCAGTACAGAAATAAAGAAGGTCTGAGAAATGTTGGGGCAAAGGGATAAGTGTGGATGGGTTGAGTGGAGTGCATGTAAGAAATGTGAGTGATGTATTTTCAATGAGAGAAGTTTGGAGGGACAGAATTTGAAATGGTGGAAAGGATTGGACTACCCGAGGCCATGCTGGTGTCTGTGGCCCATGCTGCTGCTCCAGGCCATGATAGAGTCAGAGACCCATATGAATGTATGTAGTCTGTGCTGAAGCCTAGGTTATGTCCTTGGGCTTTGCTGCCTTGGGTAGCCATGTTGATGTGAGTGGACTAAGGCCATGTTGAGGCCCATGGTCCCTGATGCTGCTGAGGGTCAGGTGTGTGTCGATGGTCCTGAAGTGGCTGGGAGCCAGGTTATACCCAAGTTACCACCTAACACTATGTGGATTTCCATGGTCTATGATGAAGCCTGAAGCCATGTTGATGTCCATGGGCCATGATGCCACTGGAGGCCATATTGATACGGGTGGCCTGCACTGCCACCTGGGGCCATGTTGATGTCCATTATCCAGGCTACCTCTGAGGGCCTTGTCTGGGTCCATTGTCCTATTGTGGCTGTGGGCTGTGTTCATGGTCTGTGCTGTTGCCAGAAAACATGTAGAAACACATGATCCATACTCCCACAATGAAAAGTAGCAACGAAGCTACTTTTCTAGTGATATCAATGACTGCAGATGCACAGTTGAGAAAGAGGGAACATAGAAGGCTTCTGTGACAGCCCCTAACCCAACCCTAACCCAGTCCCCCTAAAAAGTAACAGCCTAAACAGGAAGCCATTGAAGAGATCTCTTTAAAAATATAAGGATGCTGAAGTATAGCTCTTCACAAGTGATAAGTTCTGGTGGGAGTAGGGGAGGGGAAGGACTCAGTTCTATTTAAGGAGCTGGCCACTTAGAGTTTGATTGACCATGCTCCAGTGCGTATATAGATAACACAAGTTGGACTTGCATTTTTTTATTTTGTGGTAGGGGGAAGTCACAAGGGCATGGGGGGGCAGACACAAAATGTCTGGGAAGTGAGTGTGATTGGAGTGTATGATGTGAAATTCCCAAAGAATCAATAAAAAAAATTGTGCTTAAAAAAAAGACAAAGAAAATTTTTGTTAAGTTTTTGACTGCCAATATGAGTGTATTGTAGCGTGAAGAAATGGGGCATAGAAACCACTTGGATAAAATAAATTGAATGGTGGGATTGAGATCTCTGAGGCTAGTTAAGGGTAGGGGTATTGGTGTTTGAAGACGTAGACACAAGGGTCTTAAAGTGTAAAAAAGGGGGGATTATGGTGTGTAGCAAGGGAAAGAGAGGTATCCTATTGAAAGAAAACAAATGGAAGACAAAGAAAGGAGGAGGAGGGACACAGGACTGTCTTGGGAGCTGTTACCAGGGTAGAAGGCAAAATTCATTCTAATTTTTGGAGAGGTTATCTCTTCCTAGTAAAGAAAAAGGGCAGAGGCTATGAGGAATAAGGAGTGGGAAAAGGAAAAGCCTTTGAAGGAGCAAGTTAAGGGAGGGGTCTGGAAAACTGGCCATGTACTCCAGCCATAGAAGAGGGAGAGGAGTGAGTGGGATCCCAGAATTCCCTCAGGATGGAAAAAGTGGCCCCACTATCCAGGAGGAATGTGATGAGGCAACCTTCACAAGAAGTGAGACCCTAGGCTCCTAGAGAGTGATCAGCGTGGCTTTAGTCAGGTCGGTAGCAGAGCCTGGGCCCCATCAGTCCTCAGCTGCCAGGCCCAATAGGTCCAAGGAGGGTGCCAGAAGGATGGATGACCCCAGGGAAGTCCTTCCCTGTGGACAGTCCAACGCCAAGTGGCCCTCCTATTGACAGGACAAGGACAGGTAGGTCTGTGAGGATTTGGACAGGTTTGTGCCCAGTGATGGCTCCTTCTGACCTGACATCCCTGTTGTGGGATATTCACCAGAGGAGACTGCTCAAACATGGGTTTAAGCCAATAGAAAGTATTAGCAGGCCAATGACTACACTGGGTGTTCAGGATCCAGTATAGCACTGAGCCTTTCTTAGGGTGAGCTTTTAAGCACAAAAAAAAAAAAAAATGTTCTGGGTTGACATACTCCAGTTAACAAGAACAGTTAGCCAGAAGAAAAACTACAGAAGTCAAAAAAGCAAGGTTAGTACTTTCGAGACTTTCCCAAAACTATATGGACTTTGATGGATTAGGCCTTCTTTTAGTTTTGGCCAGTGGTATTATATTCATGCTGAGTTTTATAGCTTGAATGGTACTTCTAGCACGGAATCAGTTGTGCTAAGGTCTGGGGCCATGTTACAGTCCCCTTCTTTGAGGGCATCCCAGCACCAGGAGTTTGCTGGAGAGCCTTAGCCAAGAGTTGGTACTTGTGTTTTTTCTGCACTCATCACAATTACAGAAGACCTTAAATGCCAAGTACCTTGGTCTGGGGTGTAAGCAGGCCTTGGTCCAGTCATTTGAGTTTGGCCCTTATGTTTGGGTAGTATTGGGCAAAAGAGTAGGTCATAAGAAGTTGTTGGTTAAGTTTCTATGTTGAAGCAGGGCCTATCTGAGGCACTAAAGGAACTGAGAAGGATTTTCAGACTTGTCTTGAGTAATCTCTTGGACCTTTTGAAAGTTAGTTGGTTTAAGGGTCACTCCCCTCTGGCCAGAGAGGAGACAAGAAATGAAATGGTCCCTGACCTGACAATCATCACTGTCATTGTAACCCAATGGGGATATATGTCAGGGACTTCTGTGGCTCCAGTGGGGTGAGTCCTGTCTGTTTGGTGTGTTTGATCTGCATGGTCATGGGCCTTTTCCAAAACATGTCTGCATTCCTCAGGAAAGAGGTTATTAGAAAGGATTATATAGAGATCATGAAAGGTAATGTCCTAGGACTGGGTTAGGTATTGGAATTGTTTGATGGAGGTGGTGGGGATCTGAGGTAAAGGAACATAGACATTTGTCAACCTGGGAAAGTTCATGATGAGAGAAGAGGACATAAACGCCAGTGGAGCCATCTATACCCACTATCTCCCTGAGGGGTAGGATTAGGGCAAGGGCTGGGGCAATTTATCATGAGATCAAGTATGGGGAGAGCTGAAAAGAGAGAGGTCTACCAGGCAGCCCAATTTGGGGATTGAACTGGGCACTCTGATCAACCAGAGAATTCCCTCTAGACAGTCAGCATCAGTTGTGAGCTCTGTGACTAAACCATCTTAGATTCCCACCTAAGTTTGACCTTCAGATAACTTTAGCTTTGGCCAACAAACTAGCTGCAACTACATGAGATAACCCATATCCATATCCCCTGGCAGATATCCAGGGGCCAGTCTGGATAGTTTGAGATTGAGTGGGAGTGGTGGGGCAGTGGTAGGGTGCGAGGATGTAGAGGTCAATCCTTGCTGCCCTGGTGAAATCCAGGCAGATGAAGGAGGGGGCAGATGAGGGAAAATAGGGGGAAGGCAACTGACAAAGGGGAGAGGGAAAAGAAGTAGAGGGAGACTCGTCAGCAGGATCAAATGGTGGACTTTCAATTTCAGGAGCAGAAGGAATGGGAGGTAAGGCAGAAGACTTAAGAGCAAGCAGGATGTGGGAAGGTGAACAAGACGTGCACAAAGAAGACTTGGAGAAAAAAAAAAACAGAAAAAGCAGAGACATAAAGGATCTCTTTCCATTTTCCTATGCACTCACAGACGTTGTAAAGATCCTGAATAATGTTTGGATCAAGAGAGCCATTAAGCGGCCGGGTGATATTGAGGCCAAACATGAGTACTGAAGTGGATGAGCTTAAGAGGTTTGAGATCTGGAGTGAATTATAGCTGTTTGAAATTTTGGGGAAGATATCCCAAAGGCACCAGTCAGGATGGAGGAGCAGATCCCACCACTAGTGGTAGGCCATGAGCCAAGTTTGAGAGACAGCATTCCTGAGAGTCTCAAGCAGCTAATAGAGAGGCCTCCAGGTGGGAGGGGTCAACACCAAAGTTCCATGACCACCTGAGGGACACAATGGTCAGAGGAAAAGTCCAGAGACCTGTCAACAAGATTTTTGTACAGCTAATAAATGATACCAGATTTGGGAGAAGAACCACCAAAAATGAGGTTTCCTATGCTCAAGCCATGCACAGTGTGACACAGACTGCTTTTGTACCTGGAGTTTTCCTGTGTTCTGCCTGGTCCGCAGTTGCTCAGACCCAAGTAAACACACAGAGACTTATATTAATTAAAACTGCTTGGCCATTAGCTCAGGCTTACTACTGACTAGCTCTTTCACTTAAACTCAGTCCATTTTGTTAATCTATATGTCGCTACATGTTCCGTGGCTTTACCTGTGTATCATTACATGCTGCTCCCTGGACAGTGGGCTGGTGTCTCCTGACTCTGTTCTTCCTCTTCTCAGAATTTTCCTTGTCTGCTTATACCACCTATACTTCCTGCCTGGCTACTGGCCAATCAGTCTTTTATTAAACCAGTTTACAATAGCATTTTTCTACAGCATTGCTTCTGCTGCCTTTGGGTCAAGATGTAGAACTCCTGGCTCCTTCTCCAGCACCATATCTGCCTCCATGCCACTCACCTTGATGATAATGAATTAAACCTCTGAACTGTAAGCTATCCCCAATTAAATGTTTTCCTTTTAAGAGTCATAGTGTCTCTTCACAGCAATAGAAACTCTCTCTAGTTAAGACAGGTACCAAAATAAAGGGACCTCTGAGTCAGCACAGAGCACACTTAAGACACCAAATTCTCAGGACAAAGGAGATTTATTTAACACAGAAAGATAAACAGGCTGCCTCTGGTTCAGACAAAGACAGCAGCAGGTGACTGCAGGAGTGGTTTTTATGGTGGTCAGACTCAGGAATGAGGAAGTGGCCAAACAAGGGAGTCTAGTGGTTTAGCTAAGGTAGCAGGGGTGGGGAAGGACCCACTGGCACCATGTTTGGGCCTATTAGAGCCCTTCAGGTATAATGACTAAGCAACTTAAAAATCAGTTCTTAAATTTCAAGATATTTTAACTTCAGATTGCACATTTTTTTTAAATCTAACGCTCAATCAAAATACATACCTTTAAAGGCAAATCTGAGGCAGAATACTATCAGTGGTACCCTTAGTTTGTTTTGCTTCAGCTCGGCAGGAAACATACCCAGGATGAAGAACTTAGACTATGAAATGGAAAAGTAGAACAATGTGAAAATGAGAAGCAGGGCCAAGATCAGGGACAGCCTCCTTTTGGGGTGTTTACTTCAGCCTCAGGGCCACAGAGATTAACTAAAAGTTTAAACGGTGGAAGGCATTATCATTTTAGTGTTTTAAAAATCTTGTTTTCCTCACAAGGTGTTACATGCCTGTATCTCCAGCACTTCATAGTGCTGCCTTGAGGACCAACCTCCAGCAGCTCAGGGTTTGAAGAGTCGTGAACTAATCATTCAACTTGACTTTTTATCTGAGGGAGTAAAACTTAATTCTCTGGGGCCAAAAAGGGGGCGTTAAACTTAACTCTCTGGGAATGCAAAAAAAAGAGAAAGAGAAACACACACACACACACACACACACACACACACACACACACACACACACACACACCACATGCCCAACATGGCAGGATCTCACCTAGGGTGCCTTCAGCAGGTCAGAGAAACTGAAGAGGAGACACAGATCAGATGAACTACTGAACAGACAGACAGACACAGGAGGACTTCTCTGAGGGCCAAGGCTTAGTTCTTCATTTTATTGTGCTTTCTGTTGCTTGTTCTACTCTGTTCTTTTTCTGTTCTGTTTTCCTACCCTGATGTTTTCCTTCTGTCTCTCCTGATGTCTTCCTTCTAACTTTTCCCTGATAGCTTCCTTCTACATATTTCCTTCTATGTCTTTCCTGGTGTTTTCCTTCTCTCATGTCTTTATTTTTTCCCTTACAGCTTATAAACATTACAATGTGGTTACATTCTGTTTTTCAAGTGAATGATTGCATTGAATACAAGTAAAAGACAACATGTTCTCCATATCCCTTACATGATTAAACATTTTACATATTGCAGGTGAAAAACAAATTATCCCCAAGAACCCACATGCATTCATGCCCAAGCAACTTGTTATAGATTAACAGAGTGTAAGCAGCAGGGTATTTTTTTCTCAGCTAGTTCTCTTACTGGCAGGCTACATTTTGCAGTTACAAAGAAAGCATCAATGACTTTATTACTTATCTCAGATCTTATAAGAATTCTTAGAAGAATCACAAACCTAAACCTTTATATATGAAAAAGAATCAGTCAGCTCTACTTTAAATCCTCAGGGTATATACCCACTCATCAACAGTTTATATCAGGAAGTTGAGGGAAGAAATGGGTACAAAGAATTAATCATCATCTTTGATTATCAACAAATCCTAGCAAGAAAGGCACATCGGGCAGCAACAGCCAGGCCGTTATTATCTTGTCCCTGACCTCAGTAAGTCCCTCACTCAACTATTTGCCTTTCAAACTTTAGATTGTTTCCCAAGGTTCTTCACCTCAAAGCTATTAACAAAGACATCTTAATCTAACTTTAAGTCATAGGTTAAAGCCCTGTTTCAGCTCTAATACACACCAAAACTGGTGAACACATCTCTCAACATTAAGATTAACAGGACTTGAGCTAACTTAGCTTCTGGAACTTAATTTCTCTTCTTAATCATTAACCTAAGCCACAGTCTACATGGATCCTCAAAAGAAACTAGCTGTGTAACATTTCCTTGTTCTTCTTTTCTATCCTTTGCAGCCCCTGCTTTATCAGGGGCTGGGGCAACACCATATCTTGCTTTTACCTATATTAATTTTCCCACTAAGCTAACCTCTATCATAATCCCTTACTATACTTATTGAAGACCCTCAATCATCAAAATCCTATTTAAACCAACACTAGTAGAAAATCATTGCTTCAGTTAAACAGTACAGCTTAGGAAGAAATCATCTTCATAATAATCCACAGGTAAAGTGCCCAGTAGAATGGGATACTTGTCATGAAATGGCAATCAGGAGGCCTTGGCTGGTTGGGTCAGGGTGCCCCAGTGGGTGAGGGAGTCATGCCATGCAGACAAGGTGGTGGACTGTGGTGTGGAGAAGTGAAAAATTACTCACAACATTCAGGCATGGCATCCATGTGGAAAGTTTATTATTAAGGGGAGGGGGCAGAGAAGGAAGGGTAGATAGGAAGGGACTAAAAGAAGAAGAAGAGAAAGAGGAAAGGAAAGAAAGACAGAGAGGAGGTGAGTGGTACCTCTGGCAAGAATGAGGAGAATAGGGGAGGCTTTTTTTTTCTCCTTTTTTTTCCTGGGAAATATTTTATTTTTATTTATTCTACAGTAGAAATACACCCTCAAGTTGTCTGAAAATACAAACACATCAATATTGCAGGAATTATGCAAACAACAAAAAAAGATGAATGGAGCCAAAATACCACAAAGTAGAGATTATTGAGTATTAAGCATTGTTATCTTATGAAAACAATTACAGCAGCATGGAGTGAGGCCAGAGATATGGTCTATTTTATCTATTGAAGAGTTAATTTAACCACAGGAATGTATTTAATAACATTTATGGAAAACCATGATCAAGACCAAAATTATACAAAAATTTAAAACATATTTTAGGATTTATAAATTATCTCTTTTTTTGCCATTCAGTTCTTTATTAGACCATCAGGTGTTTTAGACAGACACAGTATCACAGCTTCACAGAGTTCAACAAATGCAACATAAACAAAAGTAACACACCTTAATATAATATTCTACAACAGAGAAAGAACAAAAGAAAAAATCCTGCATTGTTACAGGGTTTTACACAATGTTGAATGCTTTCTATATTCTTGGAGGAGGTCTGGCTGGCTGGCATGGATTCTCCCATGAAGTCTGGTTACTGAATTGTAGTTTGGCTTTTTGTAGTTGGTCTTTTCTGTGTTGAACACACAGATTGCAAGCCCAGCGCCACTTTGAGATCTTTGGCAGCAGTTAACTCTGCAGCTAACACACAATTGAGCCTGTATGATCATGACTATTCAGAGATGGGTAATGGGGGGTGGGCGCTCACCAACCTAAGACAGAGCGCCTATGTGGCCTGGGCAGGCATCTCCATGATGGGTAAGGTGACCTGCTGATGTCCCATGCAACCTAAGTCAGAAGCTCATTTTTTAATAAAAGGGGAGACCTGTAGGGCCCTGGCCTTCATTTTGGGTAACTGTTGCCTTGCTTGCTGACCTTGACCTTGATATCCTCCCTATGCTAATTCCCTGCTGGGTTCCACCCTCCTGACTGCTTAAGAGAAGTTCCTTGTCTATATATCCTGCATACTGGGCATTAACAGCTTAGATGCAAGATTGTAAAACATCAGTAGCGAACTTCTGCCCTCCGGGTTTCTCCCATTGTGCTGTAAGCCTGTATTTAAAACTTCCTCCCTCCTTCAATAAAAGGCATTCAGCATTTTTTTAAAAAAGCTATTTTTTTCCTCTTAAGGGGTCTTTAATGTAAGATGATGTCAGGATGCTGGGCAGGTCTCCAACGGGCATGCCAGAATGCTAACAATACTTCCATGAGATAAGCACACTACATTAAGGTCAGTGGGAATATCCCCATGCCCATTCATACCATGCCAGATACTAGAGAGAAATAGCAGCAGTAAACATGTAAAGGCACAGTGGTAGCAAGAGATCCTGGGGCTGAAGCCCTCAGGGCCTTGCCTATTTGAGATTCACCCATCAGAGCTTTGCTTCCTGGTGGGCCAATCCCCTGAAGCAAATTGCCACCTATGGCTCCTCTGACATGGCCACTGGCAACTTCACAGGACAAATCAAGAAGCTCACAAGTACAGGGATCAGCCGGACTACATTAATGAAGGCCAGCCTGGGCCTTGTCTCAGAAAAGAGTCTTGAACTGAGCGGGTAACTCAATAGACAAGAGTGCTTTCCTAGCATTCATGAAGCCCTGGGTTCAAATATACAGCAACCTATAAAGAAACAAGCATATTGGCACAGACCTGTAATCCTAGCACTTACAAGGTGGAAGCAGGAGGATATTTAAGGTCATGTTTATCTATGTGGTGAGTTTGAGGCTAGCCTAGACGACATGAGACCATGACTCAAAATTCAATAATTAAGGGGGTTGAGAGATGCTCAACAGGTGGCACAGTACACTGAGGTAGTCACACAGTAGAATTGAAGGGCATATAATTCACACTGGAACATGCTGCTTTTGAGCTGCCCATGTCACACTGAAAGGGGTCTCAATGCTCAGAAACTAAACAAAGAGCTGGGATGTACCTAACACCCTGATTTAATTTGTCCCAAATTGCATAAAACGATAGATTTTCAGACTGTTGAGAGACTATTTTACAAGGAGATTTTGACTCAGTTTGGGAATGGAGGATAGTTGGGCACATAAGTAGACATGGGGACGACAACATCTGTCTGGCGCCACTCATGCAGCACAGACTGGTACATGACTTGTCCCTGGGAGTAGAAAGAGAGCCACATTATGAATTGGTTGGGGTAAACTGGAACTATAGGCGCACATGGACACATTAAAATCTTATCAGGGACTCAGCACAGGTAGGCAAAAGACAGCCATGGAGCAGCCTGGGTTCTTATGATCTGGGCTGCCTAAAGGCATCCACATGCCTGCCCAGCACCACAAGGCACTGGGCAGGTAGGTGCCAGTATGATGAGCAAGCATATGGTGGAGAAATGGGGGAGAAAGAGAGGCAGAATGGTGCATGTGCTGTGGTAAGAGGTAGATTTCAACAAGTGAGTGTGGTGATGAATGGGTTGACATTGGCAGTCTGCTTGCCACAGAAACCAGGGTGACATCTGGGCCTGGGCTGCTGCCTGAAGCCATGTCTGGGTCTGTGGTCCTACTAGAGCTGGAGTCTGTGTTGATATCCATGACCCATGTTGCCATCAAGGCCATAGGGATGCCCAGAGTCTTGGCCACCATTTGTGGCCATTTTAGTGCCCAAGGATCATGACACCACTGGGATCATGTTGATCTGAGTGGCCTATGCTGTCACTGGGGGACATGATGATATCTAAGGCTCATGCTGCTGCTGGGAGCCATGCCTAGGTCCATAGCCCTGCAGCAACCAGGGGTCTGGTGTGATACCTGAGTCCATGTTGGTGTTCAAGGCCACACTAGTCCCAGGGCCATGCTAA